GTGTAGAAGGTATTGAGGAACTTTATTAAACCCATCTTGGCTGGCTCCTCTTCAACTTCTTCAACGCTCTCTGACGCTTTTTCAGACTCTTGAGACGAGGTTCTTAAAGCATTAAGGGCTCTCTGTACGGGCATTCAGCCACCCGATGCAACCCCTTGCAAAAAAAGCAAGCTAGCGGTTGCCTAGGCTTGAAAATCACTGCGTTGCTTTCTTGGGTTGGGTGCTATCTCGACCAAAGGCCTCATGTCTGATCCTCCACTGAAGGGCCGGTCTAACCTAGTCATCTTTCCCTCACTCTCAAAGTTGAAGCTACTGCCAGCTGATTGAGGATTTTTTCGTTTTGAGGAGCCATCATTATAATCGTGGAGACGTTCAGCTATAGCCATGGCCGTGGCCACGTCTTGCACTTTCTGTCTTTGTAGTTCTGTCCTGGCCTAAGGCTTGAAGCCCTCAAGAAAATAGAACATCTTGTCCTTTTCGGACATGTCTCAAATATCCAATATTCAGGGTAGAAAAGCTCCTTACAAACTCTCGCATGTTCTGTTTGCACCAATTCTCGAAGTCTCTTGAGCCATATACTCCACATTTTCAGGAAAAATTGGTTTTTCAATTCTTGCTTCAGGTCCGTCCAAGTCTTAATCGGACACTCGTCATTGACAAACTTGGAACGTCACTATAGCTTGGCATCCCCTATGAGGTACATCGACGCCATTGCTACCTTGTCTTTCTCTAAATCCGTGTGTACAGCTCGAAAGTACTGCTCCATGTCAAACAAGAAATTTTCAAGTTCTTTAGCATCCCTTGCCCCCTCATAGCATCGGCTCCGGTACCTTGGGCCTTTTTCCCCTTTCTATCGAGCTCGAACCTGATCTGGCCACAGCCATTTGTAAGATGCTCACTTGTACTCTGAGCTCCTCAAACTCCTTTTGGAGAATATTCAAGGCATCTCTAGCCTCCTCTCACGTTGTGGAGAGTATCGGACAACTCCCGTTGGGTTGTCTGATTTCCTCACTCAGTCTTTAGTCGCCATATGAGTTTTCATTGCGGCCTCAAGTTCTCAATTCTCTGTTGATGATTGGGTCCACCACTTGTGGCCATCTCATCCATTATCTAGCACTTCTCAACTATGCTTGATACCACGTGTCACGGACTAAGCTTTCTCTCAACAAGCAATAGACCGTGCGCACTTGAATGGATACTTCATCCAAGTCAGCCTTCAATAGATCGATATCTGAATAAATAATCATAAGCCATGGTTAGTCCCAAGCATTCACAATAAGACACAATATATCGAGATCAATCTCAAGCACACACACAAGAAGGTACATTCACATCGAGAAAAAGAAAAATACATCGAGGTAACATTCGGGACATTCAATCAAGGTGAGTTTTATTATAATCGAGAATCATACATCGGGACTTCCCACCATCACCAGGGCCAAGGGGCAGCCTTGGTGGATGGCCTAGGCTCGCATAGCAACCAATGAAACAGCCCAACACTACGCTACCGGCTTACCCCCCTAAAGAGCCTTAGAGATTTTAGAGCTATGCTACCACTAACCATTACAATGTTTGAAATGAGGACACTTTTCCTAGCACAAGATATCTACCCGGCCATGGCCCTATACATGGGTGGCTCATGGCAAACTAAGTCCCGGTCATGGCCCTATACAAGGTTGGCTCATGACACCCAACTTGTGCTTGGCTGCATGTTCCCTTTTTTCTTACATGCGTTCACATGACGAAAATAGGCCTTTACTTAGGCCCTTTCCATAAAGACTATATTTGGTTCATAAAAAACAACTTTACATGTACAAATGGGCCATGTAATGGGCTATCTTTAGACTTTTTTGGGTTATAAATAAGCTAAATGAACTACATTATAAGTTCCACTTGGGCTTCGTAAAAAGGTCGCTAAATGGGCCAACTTGTAGGCTCGAAATAGACTTTTAATTAGGCTATAAATTAAGTCCACAATTGGATCCTCTCTCAAGTTGCAAATGGATCCCTAATCGACTTTTTCTTTTCTATCCATCTCGAACCTCATTTGATAATTATCTTGGGTTTTTAATCAGGTTAGAAAATGGGTCATTTTGAAATTATCTATTTTAATCTCTATTTTGATGCTTTGTAAAACAAGCTTGGCTTAACAGTGTTAGATCATTCCGAACAAAATTAAGTGTTTATAATTTGTATAAGAAATACTTTACAATTATAAAAAAAAAATAGTTTCAAGAATAAGCGCAAACGTACTCGACCACCACGGTGTCCTCATCAAGCACCTAAAAACAAGTACTCAATGGTGAGTCCCAAACCAATGGCCAACAAAACGCCTCCGTTGAACGACATGATGGCAAATATCAGGAGACATTCGATTGCCGAGTTTATTTCAAAGAGCACGGTCATCGTGAATTTAGTAAAGCGACGGTATTTGGGGAGGAGAGGGACGACGGCAGTGGTGGAGGAAGATTAGGATAGATTGGAAGGCGTCAATCTTCCACGTACTGGTAAAAGGAAGTGAAGAGGAAACAAGCGAGTAGTTGAGGAGGTACCAAAACTTTTGAGGCCTACGATAAGACTTTTCCAACTATATTGAGTTCTCAGATTAGATGGGTGGTACCATGGTGGAGGTTCCCTTCTGTTATCATCCACGTTCAAGGAAATCTTGTGTGCTTATTGATTCATTAATCCAATCATCATTTTATGATCATTCAGTGCTTCTTTAAAGGAAGAAAAGATTAATTTTATTGTGAGAAGACTCACTTTCAGGACTTATATTGCCATTATCTCATATTGGGAAAGTTTGATGATAGTGGATACCAAACCTCGATTAAAGGAGTGTTTTGTCAAGCCCAAAGATGAACGGAGAAGCATACTGGAGAGGTTTATATAAAGAGTTTCTGGTGAAGTGAAGGTTAGATCATGGTGAAGATGAATATTGAGTGTTGTTCTGGGATTCAACAGCTTGTTCTGTGGGTTTAAAGGTTTTGGCCTCTCTCTTAAATAAGCTTTGGACAGAATAATCCTCCTTATCATCATCATCATCATCAATTATCACTTTTTGTTTGTCTTTGGACCCAACACTAATCCTCCTTTTCCGTTCATCAAACTTTTTCGTTTTTTTCTCAACACTATCCAATTGTGTAAAGAATTTAGATAACATTTCTTTATCAGTTCTTTTCTCCGTTAGAGTAGACACCTTTTGGAGTTTGGGATCTTTGGAAGACTTAGGTGATTGTGTCACCAAATGTTTTAATACTAGCCCTAACGTAAACATGCTTTCTTTTTTTTTTTTTGAGGGCCTATGGTGATGTTTGCAAAAATTAAAAATCATCTTTAAAAACCCAATAGTTGTTATCGTTTTTTAAATTCATGGAGAAAGGTTCAATTACAAAGAATGACAAACAAATTCACAATAATTCAATACCAGGGTAGAACCTAAAGATAGTTTCTAAGTTGATCTATATGACAGTGTTATCCATGCCAACCTTCTTTCTCCAACACGGTTTAGGTTCCTAGTTAGCTTGGTCATGTGCAAAGCCAGGGGTGTAAGCCTAAAACCATAAGACGTCAGTGTCGTTGGTTACACCAAAAACTCGCCATTGGAAGGTTATCAGGGCACAAGGAATTGACTCCTTAAAGGGGATCCATCCTTTGAAGCCAAAATTCAAGTTTTATCTTTTGTAAAAGGCTAAGGGATCAAACCTATGAAATGGAAGATCGATCCCTTTGAACGTTTTGTTTTTGAGGAGCATTCCGTGTGACAAAAGATCAATGCTTGGAAGGATCAAACCCTTGTTAACAAAATAAGAAATTTTTTTTAGTATTTGTACTTTGAAAAGGTTTGACAATTGCTTAAAAATCATTTGACTAAAGTTTGTTCACTTGGAAACTTGTGTTTTTAGATTAAAATTAAGCCCAAAATATTGGAACAAATATTGTGAGTTTTCAAAAGTAACTTTGAAGTCCATGAATAAATATTTGCAAAAGTAAGATTGTTTGGAGTAATTTCTTTTAGCTTAACAATAAAAATATTTATTTACTTTAAATTTTTCTTAAAGAAAATATTAGAACTCAATAATATTTTTATTATGAAGCACAAAACCTCTAGTCATGTACAGCATATTAAAAAATTCATTTTCTTGAAATCAATAATGCTAAAATTGCATCAAATAAAAAGAAAATGATTGTCATTGAATATCAATTGGACTTTGCTTTTTCAAGCAAAGCTAATTTAAAATATATTTTTCTCAACACCAATAAAATTAAAATTATATCTTTTTAATATCAATTGGATGTACATTTTTTTAAGTTAATCACATAAAAAATTGCATTTCTTAAAATCAATAGTATCACAATTATATAGAGTTTGAGGAAAAATAGTTTTTACTAAAATATCAATTGAATTTACATTTAGGCTCAAATAAGCAAACTTTTGATTTAAGAAGCAAGCAAAAATTTTTAAGTAAATTTACTTTGAAAAACACACTTAAAGTGTTTATCATTTTAAAACAATTATCAATTTAAGAATAATATATTGCATGCATGTTATTTATTAAAAAAATTAACACTAACGCAATTTTTTTTTTGGTACAAAGAAGATTGAAGTTAGTGAGTGAATCATTGGGGATCGAGTTGAATATTAATTTTATAGAAATTTATCTCTTAAAAAAAGTGAATGAATCATTTAATGATAAAACTTCTCAACATTAATTATTTAACAAATATCCGAATAATTAACGTGTAATATGACATGCAACATATGTACACATACAAAAACAAAAAGAAAGTGGATCTAAAAGTCATAGCACATTAATTTAAGTTTAGAATCCTTCATCTTTAAGGACTAAACTAAATATGCATTAAACCATTGAGGACCCAAATGCCATTAATCAGAAATTATTTAGGAAAAAGAACAAAAAAACGAGTGGGATGGTTTCTTTGCAAAACCCTAATTTCCGATACACTGGCACTATATATACTTGTTATACTCTCTTTTTGGCTTCTTAAACTCTTTCCTCAGCCACTCCGCTTTTTATCCTTCAATACCTAAAAGCCTCACCCCAAACGCCAACGAAAATGGCCGTCTCTGAGGCATTGGTTTTCCGCGGCACCATGCGATCCCATACCGACATGGTGACAGCCATCGCCACCCCCATTGACAACTCCGACATGATCGTCAGCTCCTCGCGTGACAAATCCATCATCCTTTGGCACTTAACCAAAGACGAAAAGACCTACGGCGTCCCTCGTCGTCGTCTCACTGGCCACTCTCACTTTGTCGAAGACGTTGTCCTCTCTTCCGATTCCCAGTTCGCTCTCTCTGGTTCCTGGGACGGTGAGCTTCGCCTGTGGGATTTAACCGCTGGAACCTCCGCTCGTCGTTTTGTTGGCCACACCAAAGATGTACTCTCTGTTGCCTTTTCCATTGACAACCGCCAGATTGTTTCGGCATCTCGTGATCGAACTATCAAGCTTTGGAATACCCTTGGAGAATGCAAATACACAATCCAAGACGGCGAAGCTCATACCGATTGGGTTAGCTGTGTTCGTTTCAGCCCAAATACTCTTCAACCCACCATCGTTTCAGCTTCGTGGGATAAGACTGTGAAAGTTTGGAACCTGACCAACTGTAAGATTCGTAACACATTAACCGGCCACTCGGGTTATGTGAACACGGTGGCGGTTTCTCCTGATGGTTCTTTGTGTGCCAGTGGAGGAAAAGACGGGGTGATTCTGTTGTGGGATTTGGCTGAAGGAAAGAAGCTGTACAGTCTTGAAGCGGGTGCGGTCATTCACTCTCTTTGCTTTAGTCCTAACAGGTACTGGCTTTGTGCCGCCACGGAGCAGAGTATCAAGATCTGGGATCTGGAGAGCAAGAGCATTGTTGAGGACTTGAAGGTTGATCTCAAGGCTGAGGCTGAGAAGTCTGAGGTCACGGACACCGGAAACAAGAAGAAGGTAATAATGCTTTTCTGTCATCACTATTCTTATAGTTCAAAATCTTCTATTCCGGCTATTGGTTTGGTGAACTCGTTTTGCGCTTAATCTGTTTTTGTTTCGTTTGCATTGTAGAAAATTTTAGATGCAATGTATCTTTACTCTGATTAATTGTTTGAACAAATACTATAGCTATCCTGGCATGGCATCCTAAGAATTTGATTGTCCTTTGCATTTTGGCATATTTGTATGTTTTCAAAATTTTATTTACAGTTTTTATCTTCTTTTGTGTGGGAGTGATTTGCTCATTACACATTGTCCATTTATTGCCTCAATTTATTTTTTGAAAACATACTATTGTAATTATTATATGCCCCATGGTAGATTTGTATTTGGTATTGCAAAATCGAAGTTAGTTTAATAGTTGTTCTGATTCCTGTGTCTGTCTTGACCCTGGGCTACAATTGAGCAATTGGCATTTTCAGGAAAAAGTAGTTTTGAGTATATTTGGATTTTTGCAGGTGATATACTGCACAAGCTTGAACTGGAGTGCGGATGGAAGCACCTTGTTTAGTGGGTATACGGATGGTGTGATCAGAGTTTGGGGAATTGGTCGTTACTAGATGAAGTTACTCTCAACAGATTGTTAAGATTTTTGTTTTAAATGTTTCGAGGATGTTTTTCTTATGTCTTGATAATGCTAGGCATTGAGGAGGCCTATGCTATTTTGGTTTGGTTTGGTTATTTTAATTAGATATTTAATTATTGACGTGTCTGGTTTTGCGCCCAAGATTTTTGGTTTGAATTGAACTCCAAGATTATTATTTACAAAGTATATATTTTCCTTTCCCCTTCTTTTTATCGGGAAGGGGAATTTGATTTGGATAAGATTGCTAGTTTAAAAAATTATTCGGGTAAAATTGACATTTAAAAAGAATAATTAAATAATTTATTCTGGTTATGCCACGTTTATTTGCTAGCTGGCTGGCTTATTATTTACTATGTAGGCCTTGCAGCAATTTTGTTAACCTAATTATTAATTAGTAGGTGAATTGGCTGACTGAATACAAGGTCAGATATTTGATTGTGAGTTTTATTTTTAAACTTCGAATTTTGCTTATACTTGCTAATTTTATTCACATAAATGCTTTTTCTCCATGCAATTTTTGCTTCCTTGTGCCATAGTGCTGATTTAAAAGCAGCCTTGGACAGCTTGGTTCCTGCTATTTCTGGTTTTGGATGGATTGACCCATGGAACTAACTTAAAAGTCATTTAACCATTGATAGATACAGGAATAAGATTAGATTGTAACATAATACTTCCTCATCATTTAATATGCAAATGAATGTTGAGCAAGGGTGAGGCTGTGCAGATTTTACTTGGTTTCATCATCTTCTCTGCGGCTACTTTTTTTTTTAAAAAAAAAAAAAAATTGGGTGTTTTGGCTGCCTAAGAAATAAAAACAATCTCATTACAAAAGTGGGGTGCAAATAGCAATATTCTCATCTCATTTCCTCTCTGCATTATCTAACGTTTACCTAGATACAAAATTCTCAAAGCAATCAATCATTGTGCCTTCCAGTTCACCAACCTCTACGGCAGGCAGTTCGGATCCCCTTGTCATTCAAGAGGAAGTTCCTTGGTTTTGCCATTTTGCGCAATGGATAGCCGCCTCTTCTTTAATCTCCTCCGCAAGCAAGCAAGAGTAATGTCATCAGCCTGCAACTTACCTCCCTCATTCATCCTGCTTGCTTCTCTCACCACTTCATGGGGAGCCACCGTATCATCAACTACATCAACTACATCAACTACCCCAATGTCTCTGTCACTATGCATAATAGTTTGCCTCAAGCGACTGTGGAATGCAGAATTTTCAGAAATTACCAAATCACAGTGTTGCAAACCAGATCGCATTTGATTTATCTTTCTACTTTGATCCTCTCCTTTCAAAGTTGATAAAGGAGCATTTTCAACAATTTGATGCCTTTTCTTCTTCAATTTGTTGCGAAGAAAGCAAGCAGGTGTCTTCTTATCTCCATCTGTGAATGAGGGAATTCTTTTCTTCAATTTATCTTGAAGTAAAGAAGCAAGCATAATGTCATCTTCATCTCCAGATGGCACATTGCTCTTTCTTCTCCTGCAGTATTGCCTTAGAGAACTATTTCTCCTCTTTTTAGTATTTTTATTTGATGAAAAGTTCTCAAAGCCTTCAGCACCAGTGATCCTTGAACTTTGAGAGGTTGATAAATTCATGTGTGTTTTCGTCCTAGATCCTGGTTTAGCAGTACTCCTCTCACCAGAAGCATCATCCACACCAAGAATATCAACTACTACTACACTGTTCTGCATCACTTCAGCACCATCAATACCTCCTGAAAACACAGAATTTTCAGAACAGACAGAATTCTGTTCTTCACCTAATTCAGCATGTACCCTCTTGGAACACTGTTTAAGTGACAGTTTGGGATTCTTTTTCATCTTTTTAGTAAGACTACTACCAAATGATTCAGCCTCTTGATTGGTGGTCATACACATTGTCGAAAGTGGATGAGATGAGGAATTATCCTGCATTGATTCAATGCATTTATTGCTTTCTGCTTGTTGTTTTCTTTTCTCCACCTGAACAACATCATCCTCCACTTGGTCACTACAATTAGTATGTCCCGAAGGTGGTTTTCTTCTTCTTTTCTTTTGAATGGCTACATGCTGCGCTGCTTCAGTATAATTATTACTTCCTGAAGGTTGTTTTCTCTTTCTTTTCTTCGGAAAGGCAACAACTTGTGCAGGTTCAGTAAAATTATTGTTCTCTGAATATGGGTTTCTTTGTTTCTTCCTAGCAGCATCATGCCCATTAGCAGTCTTAGCCTCATTTTCATTGATCATCCCCGGAACTTCAACAGAAAAAGCTTGAGCTCGTTTTCCACAACTCTGGTGTCTCCTATTTTCTGAGAAGTGCCTGCAGCACAAGAGAAAAAAAAGGTTAAGAGACACTACCAATTAGAGTAAGAATATACCTAAACAATGAGAACATCATAATTTTGATGAATATGCAAGTAGGAATGATAACAAGCAGAATGAAAATAGATAAACTTTCTCACTCTGTTGAATAAGGAGCTACGAAATTTGAGGTAAAATCTCACCTTAATGCTGCATCATTTTCTCGCTCAGATTCTGGCCTTCTTCCCCTGCAAACAAAAAGATGAATCAAACTCGAATTACAGAATAAGTTAGAAGAAAAAAAAGAAAGACAAACAGAAAGAAAATAGCTTGAATACTGAACCTTTCTTTCCTATTTTCTTTACTCGGCAGAATTGTATTTTCCGGCTCTGAAGTTGGAGTTATCATTGGTAATGAAATATTAAAATCATTAGGGCCAAGGGCAGGACGCTCAGATTCCCTATCTACAAAATTAGTTATAAGAGTTGCTTTACGTATTCTTCTAGCTTCTTGAAGCAAAGGCACTTCTTCTGGATGCAACAGCTTCCACCTCCTATTTAAAAGACAGAAGTTGCAATTAAAAAATTGTTCAGATAGATAAAGCAGAGAATTGGCATTATACAACCAAAATAAGAAGTAAAAATAACGCATGATTAGAAACTTTAGCTTGAGTTGGGGTGACAAAGAGTCAAACCCACTCATAAGCTATTCACGTTCAACTCAAAATATTCCAACTTAACTCATTTACAGTCAAGTTGAGCTTGAGCTTAAGCTTGAGCTCGAGTAGGTAAATGTGCAAATAAAAAATAATCATGTAATCAAAACCTTGAGCTCATGCTCAAGCTCCACCCTTCAGCTTAATTTTAGTTTGATGGCACTCAAGCCTAATGTATTTAAATTCAAGTAGCAAGATATTATTTCAAGTCAAGCTCGAGTTAAGTCCAAACAAGCTTAAAATAAGTTCCAAGCTTGAGTTTTGTAATCAAGTGGAGCTTCAGCTCTTTACTGTGTCAGTTGAGCTAGCTCAATTACACCCTAAACCCAATAGCTAAAATCAACTTCTTCATACCTCCAACACTGGTTATCAGTTCGTGAAAGCATACATGTGGCAATCTTTGACCAGCAATATCCATGTTCTTCAATGGCTGCTTCCAGCCTTAAATCTTCTTCTTTAGTCCATATGCCCAAATTCAAAGCTGGATCTAAAGAATTGACCCACCTGGCAACAAAGTGAAAGATTAACAATTCTATTTAACTAACGCCATCTTAATTGACTTGAAGATTACGATCCCATACCTTTCTCTACATTGCACTTGAGTTCGACCAGGAACAACTTCAGCTATTTTTTTCCAATTTTTTGGCCCAAAAAGCATCACAGCCACTTTCAAATATTTGTCTTCAGCATGTGTCCATCTCCCAACTCTTTGCCTGGTTGGATGAAGTGATTTTTTCCATCTGTATATTAAAAGAATCTTCTTAGTATAAACTAAATGATACTAAGCAGCCTTACAAAGAAGCAAGTTCTACCATAAAATTGATATGTGATAATTATATAAAGCAAGCATTACTAACAGTCTAACATACAGTATATAGGCCCTAAATGGCCCATCCATGGAATTATGTGATGCATGGCATTATTTTAGCAGAGATTTCAACTAAGGAATACTGATGGCAACATGAAAATATAGTGAAGGTCATTCAACATGAATTGTATAGAATTCTTGGGAGGAATGTGCTGTTGAAGTGCAAAATGCCCTTGTAACAAAAAGATGATGCAAAAAGGGAAGCATGCATTCTAACAAGCCAAAAATTCCATGGAATTAAATGAATGCATGCATTGAAAAAGTAGCATCAGCATTAGAAAAACATTTAGACCAAATTTATCAGCATTCGTATAACAAGAGTAGCTACAAAGCTAAATAAAAGCAAGTTTTTAGTAATGGTATTGATTATTGACTCCTAAAATGTGGACAAATCAATAGTTATATTTTTGTAAACAAGATTTGAAGAAAGTAAAATTCTGAATAAAACTTTAGGATACAGTGATCTAAGAATTGACATACATTTTACATAATGATTTTATAATTTTGACGTATGAACTGAAACAACTTAATGCAGAGGGAGACAATTCAAGGTGCTAGTGATTATTTTCAGTGCAGAATCCATGCATTCATCATGAGGGTACATTCATAATCAAGAGTTGGTAATTTAATTCTGTGTGCGACATCATTCAACTTTTATCTTTCCACTCATATAAGCAATATCTAGTCATTTCACCACTTGAGAAACTTTTGATATATAGTATAGAAAAAAAGGAAAGCTTACATTTACTTTTGTATATAGTATAGATAAAAAAGAAAGCTTAAATTGGATGACCAAGATATTTTGATAATATACTCATAATTTTCCCCTTTGAATTATATTCTGTTAAAGTAATGTTTACAGTAAATAATTATATTATAAATTTAAGGATTAATTGTTAATATTTTGCTTGAAGTAAAAATTGGCTTAAAAACAAGAATTAATCCAGATTGAAACTCAAAATTTACCCAAATCAACAAATAGCTCGAACCTAGACTCCGATGGACCTGATTTCCCCCTTTCGAAAATAATTTATGCAGTAAATCTTGCAGGGAGAACTCTTAAGAGAAATGCAAACCAAGTTGTATAATACCTAGCAATCACATGATGCATGCAGTGATAGAATGAAAACATTGAATCCTGGGGTTTATATTAGTTGTGTGAAACTGCAATTTCCAATTTATTGTAAGTTTTGTATCACGGTATGATTGCTAAAAAATTGTAGTTGTAATGCCTATGTTTCTCTTAACTCTTTTATTGTTCTTTCCCCTGATTATTTATCTTAAAATCTAGTAATCCCTACTTTTGCACTTTGAACATTCTTTTCCAGCAACTGAACAGCGAATTAGGCCTCCTTCCAGCCACTAACACATAATTATATACCTAAAACCTAAATATCCAAAATTTCCAAGTTAGATTTGGAACTTGCATTATATCAAGCAATTCCTATGACAAAGAAAGGCTTCCCCTTGCCAGATTTTCCCTACTGCCTGAAGCACATGATTTTTAACTGTATCCCACATCATTACAAGTTAGACTTGTTCAAATGAGATATCTATAACATGTTATTCTTAGAATTGTGTATGATGAGATCTATAACATATTAAAATCTATGACAAAATTGATTTATGGAAGCTAACCTATGTTAGAATAAATCACGTTTCATAAAATAAGAAAACAATAAAATTTAAAGCACAGTGCAAACTATTTTACTTAAAGGTTTCCTTATCAATTCCTTCACTAGAAAAAATTCTAATATGACTAATGTGTCAGTAGCTGGAAAGGTATGACAAAAACTAGATACAAGAAAAAATTCTTTGAAACAGTTAACTGACCGATTAGAACATTGAGTGCCAGTCCGTCCTTTCAATGTAGAAGCCACAGACTGCCAATCACATTCACCAAAAACCTCAACAGCAATTCGAAGTTGATCGTCCTCCTCCTCAGTCCATTCCCTTTTCAGTATGCATGCATTCAAACTCCTCTGATACCGTGCCAGGCATTGAAATGGGGTCCTGTTTGACCCCAATGATACAGCAATATCAAACCAGTTACCAATCCCCTTTTCTTGAACAATCAACAAAAGATTCTTATCTTCTTCAGCAGTCCATGGATTGCGATTGATGAGGGGATCTTCATGATTCAGCCAGCTGCAGGAAAGGATGAAGAGTATAAAGATAAAAGCATAAAGAAATCAATGCCCATACAATGATTCTGGTCTAAAGGGAATGAGAAATGAGTCAGAGACATCTGTGATGACAATCATCACAGACACATTAAACACCAATGTTTTGAGTAAAGCACATTTCAAGTAGGAGTCCCACCTGTATGACCTGCACAAACCTTGCACTTTTATTCAAATCCAACAATGGTAAAAACATCTGTGATTGTCATCATCATAGACATCTGAGAAGCTTGACTCATTGAAGGACACATGCTTCAGAGAAAGTCAGTGAACATGAAAAACTAGTTAAGAACTACCCAGATAGAGGCCAGAAACAAAGTAAACATGAACCTAGGAAGCATTACATGTGTTAGAAAGTATAAATTTCTTCTTAAAAAAAATTGCAAACGCATTTGTGATAGTTGCAACATGGACTTCTGAGAAGCTAGGTTCATTGAAGACATGCTTTAGAGAACACCAAGACCTCTCACCAACTAAAAATCCCAGTATGATATAATAGTTTGATGTAAGAAATTCATCCAATGGTGGAAAAGATAGGGTCTTGGGTTCCAAAATCAATGCAAGCATGTTTTATGTATTTTCTAACCCCAAACGAAAACAGAACAGAGAGGAATAGTAGGTAGGGCAGTAAACAAAATTTTTGCAACAAGCATAGAAAAAGAAGTTAAAACAAAGGTGAAACATTCAGGATAAAGTAAATGCCAAAATTTCCTCTGCAAAGTAAAAAACTACGAAAATCAATGACAGAACGAAGAAAAGCACAAAAGAGATAGGTAAAATGCAACATTTCAATGTATAATATGAAATATTGAAACTCTAGCAGTGTCCTCTAATCATTAAAGCAGAAAGGAGTCAAGTATTACAGCTTTTAAAGGAGGTTGAACAGAATTAAGTATGTAAAATGTTTCAGACAACAAACAGAGAAAGAAGTGGACACTTGTTATCAGGTTCTAAACATGTTGGATCCCAACAAATTGGGCGATTCTTTTTTAGAGGGATGCAAAATCTCCCAAATGTGAGATTTACCAACCAAATTCTACCACAAACTTAAAATTATATAGCTAACCAGAGCTTTATGTTTTATATTAGTCAAAAAAGTCAACAGATGCAACTATTCAAAAAAAAAGAAAATCGTTCAAGAGATACTTACTGTGATTCACATTCTGCAGCAGAACGACCCTTGATATACAATGAAGCTAACTGATCCCAATTCACTTTGGGAAGAAATTCCCTAATCATCTCTGGCGTGATTTCAAGATCTTTGACTGTTGCAATGATGTTATCCAAATTGCTTCCATCTCCAGATGACCCATCTGAGCTACTGGCAAATAAAGTGCATGAGTATGCATATGCTGAATGAACAAGTCAAAAGAATGGATATGTAAATATCTAAATATAGTGATATCCCGAATTAGATGAATATTAGGCAACTAATGCAACTTTTTCTTGTACTAAGAAGTTTTTAAAGTTACGAAGCTAAAAGAAATAAACTTTGTACACTTCTACTTCACATTATTTTGTTAATTTCTGCCTTTAGATGAGTATTTAGAAGTTCAAAATAAGAAAAAAAAATCTTCCAAAAACACACCGAATAGGCTCCAAAACTTTATTATCAGACATGCTATACCACATACTCAGGTCAGGAACAGACTTGACCAGTGCATAAAGTTTAATATTTCCAATATGCAGCTCCAACTATGGTGATATGCCAGAAGAGCTGCAAGGAACACTTAATGGAAAAATAGAAGGAATGTCTTCCATCCGTAGCATAATACTGAACGTGATCATAGCCTTAATTTGATTCACAAAGTACAGTTAGCCTTGTGAGTTGTCAGCCATCACCCAATTAAGATATGACTTCAGACATAAAACAAATGATATTTACATTGAGAAAACACACCTCAACCAATCCACTGAAAATTGAAGCGCCCTCTCTTGAAATTGTTGCCGTATTCCCTTTTCAAGATTTTCTTTTTCTTCCCTGGTCCATTTTTTCCTCTGAAGTGTAAGAGGAAATTTTGTTAAAGCCATTCTGTAATTACAGGCACTAGAATTCTCTGGTGGACCATAATCAGCAGTGACCTTTTTATCATTAACCTGCAGGAATAAAACATGTCATGCTCATCATCAGATAGAACCATTAAAAATCAAACCTACAATAACTTCACAACACGTTAGCAATCATACTTACAATCAAAGACATTATTTAGACCATCACTTGTAGTTACTAAAGCTACATTACATAGGTGCAACTCGTAAAACCTATGTCACATGGACTCAAGTATGAGTATCCATTATGGGTATGTATCCATGTCTTGGACTTGTCTTTTGTTAAAATATTTGTACTTGCAGATTCAGCTAAAAATATCCAAAAATAAACTACAAGTACGGGAATCCTTCTAAAAATTTATAGGGAAAATAATAATACTACTTATGTAAGTTAAAAAAATTTTAAAAATCAATTTGACAAATAAAACCTTTTGTTTATAATGTCGTGTCGTGTCAAGATCAAAGTTATTAATACTATACTAGATAACATTTTGATTTTCTTTAAAAAAATGGTATATACCAATACTAGTTGTTCCAATATATTATTTTGGAATTTTTAGTTCAGTACAAATGTATTTATAAATATACATGAACTTGTACATAATAATACTACTAATAATCTATAAAATAAATATGCAATATCTTTAAAAACCAAATAAATAAGTTTAAAAGTATAAGAAATAATAAAATCAGTTTATTATGATATTTTTAAATACTTAATATGATCATATGATATTTAAATGAGTATTTTCTTTTTCATGTAGATATTAAGATAAAAACAAAGATATGAAAAAAAAGTTAACCTTGGCTTCATGATTGTTAAAATTTAGATTGGGATTTCTTGAAAGAGATTGAAATACTTACAAACTTTAGTTTGAAAAAATAAATTATAAAAAAAAAAAAAAAGTTATAGAAAAAACATAGAGAAACCCAACTTTCAAGGGTTATTTTATCAATTAGTTTAATTTTTATTAGGTAAAAAATAGTCAAATAACAAAAGACTCATTAAAAATTACAAAACATATTTCAAATTGGCATACCGACCGAAACAAGCTAATCTACCCAAAATTCACCAAAACTAACGAAAACAACCGGCATTACCCAATACCAAGTCCAGTACGGAAAATCACCCTTAAGTTTACTATGTTTTGATATAACTGGAATGTACAGGTTAGTAAGGCCGGTACCGAAACAAAATTAACAACTTTGGTCGAGATGGGTATGATGCCTAAGAATGCCGAGTCCATGTAACACAACGTAAAACTAACACTAATACAAAGAAAGCATATATATCTTGCAATACGAAGAAAGCATACATATCTTGCATGTATAACCAAGCCTCATATAGTCACATACTGCCATCCTACACATACATAGTTCACCTGGTAAAACTAACATTAATATGATGAAAGCATATGTATTTTGCATGTATAACCATGCCTCACAAACTACTGTCCTCCACATAAATCTAGAGAATTATCTGTCTATCCTATAATATCAGTCCCCTTTGATAGCACAAAGTAGAAGGAATGATAAAACTTTAATTTACTATTAATTTTTTACCCCCATTTACTGATTTCACTTGTTTTTATATGGTAATAATACTGAGCCAAAAAGAAACAATTAAATCAATAACTGATACTAATCCACTTCTAGCAATAGACATATGGTTCGTAAAACCCAAAATGGAAAGATGGACTAACATCATGGGATGGTTTGGCGAGAAAAAGAAGAATGATAGTGTTTCACGCCTATAAGTTTCTATTAATCTTTACCTATATATTGAACCAACCTTTAGGTTTTATCACTCTAAAACCTAATGAAGCTCAAGGACATCATTAAAAAAACCATTCGTATATGTTTGATATGCACAAATAAATTACTGAGAAAGCTAACTCTATATGCAAAGCCCCCATCCAAACCCCAAGAAAAAATGAAATAAAATAATTTCAATATACTATGTGTTGTTAGGATTAAGGAATAAAGGAAAAGGATGCATGTACCACATCCTAGTTAGTTCACATTTAAACTTAAAATAATGCTATTTGCAGAAGATATTTTAAAGTGTAGAGATTCCGTATTAAAAATTTAAAACTATAATAGGTTCACAAGCCACTAGTTTAGGGAATACATCAAATAAACTATGCTAGCATGAGGAAGACATAAAAGGCAATGATAAGAGTATAAGACCAGAAATGCTTTATGACAATGAACTTGGGCAATGAAATATCAAAATATGCATAAAATGAGCAGTGTTGAGATGGTTGCAGAGGATATTAGAATACAAGGAAAGATAATATTGAAATGAGTGCATACTAGAAAGCTGGAATCACACAAATTGAGTGTAAAATACAAGAAACATGTTTAAGGGAGTTTAGACGTGTAAAGAGCACAGTATAGATGCTCCTGTCAAATGTGATTTAACAAGTAAATCCATATCAAGAGGGCAAAATGATGACCAAAGAAGATAGGATGGTAATCAGAGAAAAGGACCTCTTTCTTGTTCAGCCCATTGAAGATATTACACTAAATAGAGCAAATGCTGCAATATGATCTATGTAGCCAACCGCACTTAAGGGAAAAAGTCCTAATCCATTGTTGTTGCATAAAAAGCATAAATCACACTATGATTTGCTTAGCAAAATCTACTCCCACATCACTAGGTAACTGACACCATAACTACGTGTCAAGTTTTGGTTCGATTATCAATTTACTTCGGTAATCTTTATGGTAACAATCTTGCAATCCTTGTTCAGGGAACATGCACTTCGGACATCTAAACTGTAAACATGAAAGGCATTTGATAATCCTTACTTGTTCATTCCCAAAAGTTTTTAAAAAAATTACAACTTGTATTAGAAGACATAGAAGCAAGAAAAAGACAAAGAGAAAAATGGTTACCTCAAGATCCTTAGAAGTCCTTGACTTTCTTGCTGAAATTAATTGTATACGGGGATCCTTCTTCATTGATAAGGCTCGGCCTGTTATTTTTTTGCAAGAAACCTGAAAGTCTCTAAGAATTTTAACGCGTTCCTTCAATTTTTTGTTCTCCTCAATTTTCACTTCAATCTGAGTCAACTTACTTCGAAGAAACTTCTGATAAGACCTGTTCTTTTTAATTGCATTAATGAGCAGCTGTGCAGATTTTGGAAACCTCGAGGACTTGTCTGCCATTGTAGATAACTCGTTGGCATCAGACTGGTTCCACTGAACTAAACCAACAGGGTGCATCTCCGTGTTGTCACTTGGAAAGTGGGAGATATTGTCAGCCTTCTCATAATCTTGAAATTGTTCACAGATATTATCACATGTTGCATCCTCCAAGGGTGTGCTACTCTTATAAATGGGCTCTGTTTTCTCTATGTGATCCGCTGTGCTGTTTTTCCAGGTATCTGATCAACATATATAAAAAAGATGAATGTAAACAAGGGGCATAAATAAGCAGCAATTGCATGCTTTAACACGAATGTACGGTCTACAGACAGAAAGTAAGAACGAACTCCGGAGATCTATAGGAACAGCTAACAAAAGTTTAAGCCATAAATGAGAGTTAAATAGTATTAACGAATATAAGTTATCAAAAAAATTATCATCGCTGGTAAAATAATGACTTCAATCGTTGCCCTAAAGAACCTCCAATAAACCAAAAAAAAAAAAACTTACAAAACAGTACACATCTAAAGCTCCAAAGAGCCATTGCCCTTTCCACATCTGGATGGCATTCAACACAGTGTGAGAGAAAGCATGAAAGTTTGCTAATTTACATGATAAAAAAAAAATCAATATGAACACCTAGCAATACCTTAAGCGCCACAACTTAACCTGAATATCAATCAGAATACCCCAACAAAGATAATTACTTGTCACTAATATAAATTACTATGAATTTGGAATTACTGTAAAGAAAGAATTTCACAAACAACTTTGAAAAAGAAGGATCTTACAACTAAAACAGTAATGATATTTTTTGCTACATTTGGATGACATTCAATGAGAAAAAGACCGTCAATCAGTTTGCAGTCAAAATGCTTCCAACTGCATTAGAGATATTAGAATTTCAAATTTCAGAACCATGAAATGGAAAAAAAAAATCTTTGGCATAAATATTCTCCTCATTCACTCACTTCCACCAAGCTACAGTGCAATTAAAATTGCAACTTCATTATTTCAAAAAAAAAAATTGCAACTTCATTATCAGTATTTTAGCTATAATTCGCTAATTCATTGTCAAACCATCTTTCCTCAAAAAAAATGAGGATGGTTCATGACGCAAAAAGTTGAAAACAACCACTTTACCAGTAACAATAGAACCGGTTGACATACAAGAAAGAACACTGAGCACAGATCAGCCAGAAAAGTAGCTTGAACTGAAAAACGATAAGGGTTGTGAAATATAAAATCTGTTTCCAGAATTCACAACTTAAGAGGATAACATGATGGTTTAAAATTTAAATTTCCAACCAATAATGAAACAATGGAAAATTCTTATATTTGCATCACAAACATCAAATTTATTATCCAAACAAAGAGATTTCATTATAACTTCATTCGAAAACTTAGTAAAATCGTAGTTTCAAGGAGAATTGAGACTTACCGTTGGTAGAATAAGCCAAAAACCGCTTCTGGATAGCGCGAAGAGTCTCAAAATCATCTTCAGCATCGTCATCAGAAGAAATTGGAGGAAGAGTGCAGAGAGGCTTCATAGACAGAGGCTCACAAACGTCCTCAGAAAGAGCAAAACGACTCCGTATACTCCGGAAAAGTTCCAGATCATCCTCGCTGCCAGAATCCGCCGACGCAGCCGAGGCGGAAGCGACGGCGCCCGCAGTGGAGGGTAGGTCTTTGTCGGCGACGGTGATTTGAAGGTCGTTAAGGTCGGTCCCGGTACGTAGGCAGGCTTTCTTTAGGGCTTCCATGTCCTCGTCGAAACCGTCGCCGTCTTCGCTGCTTGAGAGTTCATCATCATCTACTACTTCTTCTCCAGAGTCGTATTGGTCGCTTAGAGACATTGTTCTGACTTGCTTGTAGAAACGAAAAGTGAATTTTCTATTGTGAGGGGATTCTTAAAAGAGAGTGTGGAATTTGATTAGACGCAGGGAAGGCCGACAAATTGTAGGAGAAGCGCAGGCAAAATTACAAACAGTCGCTGGTTGCCGTGCTTCCAATTCGAAACGACGGTTGATGGGTCTGGGTAGGGTATCCACTAATATTTTGGGTGCCAAAGAAGATGGGCCTGGCTTATGCTGCAATATATATACATACATACATATATATATATATGTATATATATATTATATCACATTAATATGATATGCGCAAAGATATTAAAGTCTCAACATTTGACATCTAATATTATGTATAGATAAAATTTTATTTTATAAAAATTAAAAATAATTCAATTATTTTAGTTTAGTTCTTAATTAAGTTTTTACAATTAATGTATGTATATTATATCAATAATATCTTAATTATTTGAAATAAAATAAATATTTATAATAAAAAAATTATATATTTATAAATATTTATAATAAAATATTTATTTTTAATTGATAAAAAAAATTATCATATTATGTATATTATATATTACATAATAGATGACAGTTGTTATAAAGAAACATCGACTATTCCTTCTTTTATTCTATAAAAGAATTGAAAATAAGATGCTTAAAGTAAATCCAACCCACACATTACCAATACACATGAACATGCATCAAATTGCTATTAATAAGTTACATCTATTAATTATTTTCATTAATAAATTACAAATTTTTGATATACGTATTATCATAAAATTAATTTATATTAGTCACATGATATTATTATTTCTATCAATTATTCATGTGTTAAATAAATATATATATATATAATGAAAACGTTAAATAAATAGTTACATGAATATCACATGTTATATATGTGTCATTAAAAATAATATAATAAAAAAATTCATTAGGTAATCTTAGATTTTATGAATTAAATACAAAAATCTTACGTTATTTTATGCCAACAAAACATTAGAATCTCTTATTCTCTTTGATTATCAATTTCCTTCATAATCACTTATCATTTTAATATATAAAAATTCGCAAACCAAATACTCTCTTTGTGAAAAGAGTTTTATTTTTTCAAAACTTGAAAAAATTACTTTAAATAAAGCCTCCGCATAATATATTTCCAAGATCATAAGAAAAAGAAAGTATAAAAAATAATTTTTCAAAAAGGAGAAATTTGTGAACAAATTTTTATCATGTTTAAATTGATGTTTATTCTTTAGGAAAAGTTGTAAAAATGAGTGCATTTTGTGTTGGCATATGTTATTTTATTGGTTTTTAGATTTAAAAGTTATTATATGTAAATTTTATATCATGCATGAAATATAGTTTCACATTTAGTTTTATCGTTTACCTCAATACTTTTGTCCGAGCATAAAATTAAGTATACACTAATAATACCAAAGAATGAATATGAACTGCGAGTAACATATTAGCTATTTTCGGTGGATAACAAGCAAGTTAGATCGGGTTTGAATTGGGTTATTTTGTGTTAGATTTTTCAAATTAAAGAAAAATTAAATTATTTTATATTAGATTAATCTTTGGTTTGGATCATATCAAGCTTTGGTAAAAAAATCTAATCGGGTTTAAGTCTACGAACGATCAAATCATTTCAGGTTTGGTCAAGAAAAATCAAGTCATTTTGGGTTCAATGCATTTTGGTTGGGGTCAATTTGAGTTTGAATTATTTTAAATTTAGATAATTTAGATTTAGATTTTTTGAGATTGACCTTTGGATCATTGAGTTTAACACATTTATTATTCATATTCAGTTTATTAACTTTTAAAATCAATAAATATAATTAAATTATATAAAGATTAAAATGTTAAGTTAAATAATTTAAAAGTAATTTTCATAACATATAAATTCGTAAACTTGATCGTTAGACAAAAAAATATTGAGCCACTATTATTTTTTTTAGATGCAATTGATCATCTAATTAAATCTATTCATTTTAAAGAGATTCTAAACTTGACTTAGGTCCTTAAAAGAGTAGATTTTATTCTACGAAGCTAAGCTAGATCCAAAAGTATAATTACATACAGAAAATGTTATAGCACCCCACAATGCCTATCCAAAACATTGTGTTATCCATTAAATCAAACGGAAAAAAAAACTTACCAAATAATTTACTTATTGAAAATTATTTTTAAATTACTCTCTTTTTTTTTGCAGAAATTTAAAAATATTTTCTTACTTCAAAAGTATTAAAATAGATTTTTGTCTCTTGAAAAGACTCTGTCATTAGATGTATTAATTTTCTTATGAAAACCCTTTTATCCAAAAAAATTTTCAATGCGAACATTTGATATTGGAAAATTTTCTTAAATCACTCTAATATTTTGCTAGCAATTTTAAAATATTTCTTTACCTAAAAATTTACATAGAAAAAACTATTGCAACTTTCTAGTAATTTTATCATTGAAAGATCAAAATTAATTTTATTTTTTAAAAACTTTAAGAAAAATTGATATTTCAACTTTTTCCTTAACTAAAAAAAAAAACTTATCTTAAGGAAAAATGAATAATTCAAGTTTTTCCTTAACATTTTTCAAAGCATATTTATTTAGATGATAACTAAATAAATAAATAAAATATAAATCTCCTAAAAATGAGTTGATTAACGGCTTAATCCAAGGTTAGTGACTTAGCAAAAGTCAACAGCTTAAACAAGCAGTCGACGGCTTGATCAACCTGCTTGAAGGCTCATTAGTTGAATAGTCATGGGTTGGATGGAAACTAGTTTGGTTAATAAACGGGTTAACATGCAGCTCTTTTGCTTACTTCCAAAATAGCATTTTGGATTCTTTATTCAATCCAAAATTTTGCAATCATTTCTTCCTTCCCAATTCTCTTCTTAAGGCCTATTTCTTTCTCATTCTTTTAAAAATAACCTAGAAACCTAAGAACAAAAGATCACAAGCATTTGAATTTTTAGTTTTTCCAACTTTTGGTGGAATTCTTTCGAGCCAACTACCGTTAGTCGTCACCGACTACTATCTATTATTACCATCCGACCATTGAAAAAACTTTAAAAATTCCAAAAAAGATCCTTTTAATCTCATCTTTCCAATTCTCTAATCATATTTTACCAAGAAAACCAAGATTAGCCTAGATTTATGATTTAATCCGTCGGTTAAATCTTCAAAAATACACTCTATCATTTCAATGTCTTATGTTTTCCATTATGTGTTCCCATATGACCTAGTCTCATCTTACCTAAGTTTTAACTTTGAATCAACAAAAAAAAAAAAAACACCACAAAAATCCTTGTAACTCGAAAGAACAAAATTCTTTCCATTAACAAAAAAAAAAAAATTCTTTGGTTTTAATATTCTATTGTTGTTTATCATTGTATTGTTGATGAGATTTGTGGATTTGCTAATTGATTTCCTCTAAATCTGTAAAAGTTCTTCACAATCGAAACTAAAAAAATGAACAAGAACACAATATCAAAATCTTTTTACTACGATTTTTCCTTCTAATCGTTTTGGATATTGTTTTTGTGTTTTCTTTCAGCTGTGTTTATTGTTCTTTTTTATAAAGATTAAACCAAATTCTACAAAACTTTCAATTAAAAGGAGTTTCTATCATTCTCAAAATCTCATTACTGTTGTATGAAAATGAACTTTAAATAATCTAGATCTTCAAGGAATTTAATGCAAGAAATAACTTTGTTTTTACAAGAGTCTCAATTCAAACCACTTTTGGGTTTTCACCAAATTCTTTTTTTTTCTTTTTTTTTTTCAAATTTTCAGATAAATAAACAAAAATAAATAAATACAAATAAAACAAAAAAAATTACAGTTGAGTTTAAAGCTCAAAATCAAGTTTAATCTCCAATTTATCAATCAAGGTCCAAAAAGAATTTTAAAGCCTACCTTGATCAATGGATCAAAAATCTTTGAGGTTTTAAAGATTATAACTAGAAGTTTTACAAATCTTGCTTTGTTTTTTTTTTTTTTTTTTGAAATATACTTCTTTAAACAAAGACAAATGACTTTGGAAATTTTAAATGCTTTTTCTTTGAAATGTTTCCTTAATCCAAAAGTTAAATCTTATCTCTAAAAAATTCTTTTCAACCAAGGATCAAAATCTATTTTGAAAAAACTTCCCACAATTGATGATTAAAATCTTACCTTTTAAAAACTTCCTTAGATTAACAGGTTCAAAGTTTTTTTTCCTAAAAAATTCTCAACCTTTTATTAACTTTAATTTCAAAATCCAAAGCCAAAACATCTGGTTGTAATATAATGTATGAAAATGCCACAAATGCAATGAATGCACTTTCGATTATGGTAAAAAGGTTCTTAAGGCTTTTTTCCCCATATTCTTCCTTTTTTTTTAGCTTCTAATCCTTCTTTTCCTACTTCTAAGCAATCATAACTTTAGAATTGACTATCAAGTTCTATCAACTGCTTTATGAACCAAAATGTCCATTTGACAATTTCATCATTAATCACCAAAATTGAAGTTTTCCCAAAATGTTTCTTTTTTCCTTTGATAACCTTGAGGATCAACATTTTCACAAGTTTCTTTCAACCTTATCTTTATTTTGCCCCTATTACTCTCGACTTTCTTTTCTAAGTAATGCATGAATCTTTTATGTATTTTATCATTTATTTTTCATCATTTAATTTCATAAAAAATACAATTCATCACATATTTCTTCAATTCATTATAGAAAGCAAAAATGCTAAAAAACAAGTAAATTAAAAAAAGGGATAGTTAATATAAGAACAAGCTTAGAAAAGAACAAATGGGTAAATAAACAATTTCAAGGCATGTCACTAGGATAAGTGTTTAGATGGTATAATAACATCCAAATAATAAATATTCAGATAATTTTTAACATTAATCCAAGACACGTCTTTGATCTTTTTTAGCTCATCAAACCAAATCTTGTCTATATCCATAAAATTCTCAAATGATATTGGTTTTCTTAATCCTAAGTTATCTTTTCATATTTTCAACCTAGATATCTTTTTTTTTTTTTTTTACTTAAGTCATTTTTTCATATTTTTAATGTCTTTTTTTTCCCTCATTTTTATTTTTCATTTTTTTCCTTATTTTTTCCTTTTTCGTCTCTTTTTCATCATTATTTTTTACTTCATTCACCACAAACAGTCCTATCAAACTCTAAATCAATCCCAAAATATAATAAGCGATTATAATCTTATT